AGGAGCTTGTTCACCTAAACACACATCTTTCTCATCTTCAAAATGCTGCCCATACATGGGGATCTCGTGGCTGTCTTATCTGCGGAATTTCACGAGTTCTTGATGAGATAAAGAAAGACTGGTAGTCGTGTTTGAGGTCATGTCACTTATGAAGCGCAAAATTTCTTCATGAAGGTTGGCGCTAGAGTGCTGTAACTCTGGACTTTCGACGAGGTTTTCCTTTGGTAGCACGAGGATAGGGCTACACGGCGGAGTTGGAAGAACGCTAGCCCGAGAGTCTCCAATTTTTTATGAATATTCTCCGCAAGGTGGGGTCGAACGACCTCAGGAAAAAGCAGACTTTGTCTTGCTTTACTTTCAAATTGAACGCGTCGCCATTATGCTGTCGATGTTTGCCTTCTTCAGTGACCCTAGTATTACTGGGCGGCGGTTCCCAGCGCAAGGTCCCTTTCGTGTTCCACCAACATCTCAGAAGTGTCGGACTTAGAGGAGGTTGGGCTTTTGCTGTCAGAACTCCCGAATCGTTTAAGCTAGGCTACTGCTCCTTGTGAATTTGCTAGCACACTTCACCCAGTCCACAACACTGGTGAATATGCTGGATGATCACTGTAAGGAACTAAGGGAGATCAGAAGGAACATGACGATGTCAGATCGTGTGTGGAGCTGTTTCGGGCTCAAAGCATGTGAGATACAAACTAAATATTTTAAAATCTTTACAACTCTACGTAGATGTCTACATTCCATCATCTTAACAAGTCGGATATGCTAACAAATACCGACTAGTTTGTCCAGACCCAATCTCAGTGGCGCTAGATAAAGCAGTGGGATTGCCAGTCGAGGATTAGTTGGAGTGTACATAGCTCGTTTCGAATAAATTGCCATTCCGGATCAGAGTGAATCACAGGTGCGCCGTGGATTGAGAGAGCGTGCCCTCGCCTATCTGCTGGTTGATCTCTATGTTGTTTGGCGTTTGAAAGATCCTAATCAGAAGTGATGAAGAAGGAGCTCAAAAATAGGTTCCAGAAAAATTGAGTAATCAGCCACGGAAGGCGCATGTAAGGGGCTAAATAGTTGTTCAGAAGGCTAATGTGAGTGCTACCCACAAACTTTTTTTAACGCTTTGAACATTTTTCTAGGAATTTTCGAAGGAAAATATAAAGTGAGTCACTAATCATGGGACAACTTAATAAATTGCTGTGTATGAGCCCCCATACATTCCTTTGGGACAGCTGTGTATCAAATTACTCGAATTTTTACAGAAGAACATATCCGGACTGACTTTGGACTGCAAAGGTCGCATAATTTAGTCAGACCAACGGCTACAACAGGGCACATAAAAATTGGTGGAAGATGAAAGTTCACACTATCATTCCATGCACGAAAACAATGAATCCATACTAAACTTCCAATCTAATACAACGCGCATCACCTCCACCTATTTGGCGTGAAGCCTAGTATGATGCATATGCCTGCGGCATCCTGGTTTATTGTAGCCCTACCGTAACACAAGTTAGCTTTTGTTCACAATATCAGAGAGGTGAAGTGGGGCAGGAATTTGTCCTCTGCCTGGACGTATTTTATAAGGGTTACTTATGGTTCATCACGATTACTTATGGTTCTGATCACGATTACATCCATTTTGACGCATGAGCGATTTGGCGTGATCAGGGCACTGAATAATCTCTCTCCACTTTTTTCAATGAGGTCAGCGCAATACTATCTATTCCGTATTTGTAAGGTAATCATCGAGTTCTCTTTAATTCGGCCCATATCAGGTGATTTTCAGAACAACGGCCGAACATCTTTCATAAAACGATGCTGTTGTGCATACATTCTAGTCCGAAACTAAATGAGATTATCGCATGTCAAATGTATTGCTTCCGAGATCTTACGAAATGGCCGAAACTTCATAAAATCAGGTATGCTCATAAATCATTACTGATGTTTGTGCATAGGTGCGTGCAGTTATGAATGGATCGGGAATCACTCTATGCTGGTCAGCAAGTCAATTGACTTCTTTGGAAAATATAGTCGAGACTCTTCACTGAAATGTGATGAATTTCCACATATGACATTTAGATGGCTTCCATTAGATTTACGGACAATAATCGAAACAAATCAGAACCGTAAGAAGAGGGCCAGAGCCAAGCAGCTGAAGAGCTTTATGCTCTATTCAGAAGCCTACGTGATGACGTGACAGTAAAATGGTTTAATTTGTCTTGCAGTCGTCAATGAAATGGGAACCCGTCACCATATCTTTTCTGAGGACCAAATGGGCTCTTTTTTCTTCAACGACGTGATCCTCACTTAACGGTTACCAAAGCGTTATTTGCAATCGAGTCACAGAAGACAGGAATATTCTTCACACCTATCATTCTATCATTCTTTCTAGGAGCTGCTCTGAACCTTGCTAGGGGTAGGCCTGATCAGCCTTTATTTGGGTGAAGCCTAGTATGATGCATATGCCTGCGGCATCCTGGTTTATTGTAGCCCTACCGTAACACAAGTTAGCTTTTGTTCACAATATCAGAGAGGTGAAGAGTGGGCAGGAATTTGTCCTCTGCCTAGACGTATTTTATAAGGGTTACTTATGGTTCAATCACGATTACTTATGGTTCTGATCACGATTACATCCATTTTGACGCATGAGCGATTTGGCGTGATCAGGGCACTGAATAATCTCTCTCCACTTTTTTCAATGAGGTCAGCGCAATACTATCTATTCCGTATTTGTAAGGTAATCATCGAGTTCTCTTTAATTCAGCCCATATTTTTCCTACCTTATTCTCGCGTTTTTTCTACCTGCATTCATAATTATGTTTTATCCGCAATTTATTACGTCGGTTTAGAATTTTTTAACTATTCAAGTACACGGGTGCTACCTAAGCACCAGTTTGATCGTTTTTTTTTTCGTTGGCTTTGAAGTTGTGTTCCTTCATGTGCCTGACACATGCAATAAATAAATAAATAAATATCAGGTGATTTTCAGAACAACGGCCGAACATCTTTCATAAAACGATGCTGTTGTGCATACATTCTAGTCCGAAACTAAATGAGATTATCGCATGTCAAATGTATTGCTTCCGAGATCTTACGAAATGGCCGAAACTTCATAAAATCAGGTATGCTCATAAATCATTACTGATGTTTGTGCATAGGTGCGTGCAGTTATGAATGGATCGGGAATCACTCTATGCTGGTCAGCAAGTCAATTGACTCCTTTGGAAAATATAGTCGAGACTCTTCACTGAAATGTGATGAATTTCCACATATGACATTTAGATGGCTTCCATTAGATTTACGGACAATAATCGAAACAAATCAGAACCGTAAGAAGAGGGCCAGAGCCAAGCAGCTGAAGAGCTTTATGCTCTATTCAGAAGCCTACGTGATGACGTGACAGTAAAATGGTTTAATTTGTCTTGCAGTCGTCAATGAAATGGGAACCCGTCACCATATCTTTTCTGAGTTGTTCACGCATGCTGAACCCGGCGCTAACGGCTCTTAGCCTCACTCACGCATGTTTCGTACAACTTCCTATATGTAGCACTGACTGCATACCAGACCCGACTCCTGGATGTAGTTTTTACGCAATACTTTATTTCATGACGGATAACCAAGCAGACAAATGAGTTAGACATCTTTACACATTTATCAGCTGTGGCTCCGACTTTGTCTTTGCGGCACACGGGTGTTCAGCAATAATTAACAGCATTTGCCGTTCTGACGTGACGTTGTCGAAGCAGTCGTTCCATCCGCTCCACTGCCCCCTCATTATCCATAAAGAGGTGACTTCTTTGTCGTGGATGCCGAATAATTTTTTATCTCATCACTCTTACCTCCTATCTTTTCTTTGACCCCTCACTTTTATCTCTGGCTCACATTGACTGACGAAAGCTAAGGGCATCTGCCTACTTCTAATACCATGCAAAAAAGATGGGATGGAAGTACCTTTTCAAAATTTCGCCTTTATATGTGACGCGTGTTAGCTTTGCGTATTCAATGCCTCGTTATCCCTCACTGTTACGTAGTCCGTAACCAAAGCCACCATGACAGTTGTCAACGTTTTCTAAAGCAACAGTCCAGGCAGGGTTCCGAGCATTAGTCGCTAATGGGGTGGGGAGAAGCACTGGTCCTAGTTAAACATATCTGAAAGGGAACTGAACATGAACTCACCTTTGGAAGCCTGTAGGAAGGGCGACGAACTACAGCAGATGGGCGGAGGCGGGACTGGGATGGGCGGGAGCGGGCATGGCCGCTGTCTCCCAGCCGTGATGATGGCTTGGCCAGGTGCGAAGACGTTGCGGGACCAGTTTTGAGCAATCAAGCCCCATCCTTGAATAGTTTTGGTTTCATTCTGCATTCTTCACAGCCAAGATGTATCGATACTATCACCAGAACGGCGACCGCCTGCAGACTCGCTCACAGTTCTTTGCGTCGTACCTTTCTTCAAAAACGATTAGGAAATGCAACTGCGGGCAGGTTCGGACAACTCGTCCATCACACGTCTCCCCCATCGCTTAACGGCAGAGGAGGAGTCCCTGTCTAAGCCCCTGTCCGACGTTTTTTTCTACTTTTTCTTTCTCCATTGCCCAACTTCTCACCTACAACTCATTATAGGCGGTCCTTGCCCGCAAATTCGTTTCCTGGATTGTTGCTTTAAGGTCACCCGCGAATTTACCAACTTTTGACGGTACCTCAGTGTCTTTTTCCAATCAATTTCCGGAGCGCGTCTTTGTCTCACTCGCCGGTCTCCGGAACCTGCGCAGGGACCAATGGGGCTTTTCTTTTCTTCAACGACGTGATCCCACTTAACGGTTATCAAAGCGTTATTTGCAATCGAGTTACAGAAGACAGGAATATTTCTTCACGCGCCCGCATAACCAACGACACACCCCCCACACTTCAGAGTATTCATAGGAGGCAGCATTCTGAATCCATGGCCAGCCCTCCGCCCCTCGTGGAGGATTCGTCTCATTTCCGCTACTGCACATAAATCTTCGCTCCGGTGCTCTGCCAGCTAAACGAAGCATTCTGTCAAGGCGCCAACATTACGGCGTATGCGGGCTTTTATACGTTCCGGTGTGGCACTAGAATTGGAGTAGAAGAATGCGATTGCTCCCCATTTCTTTGGATGGGGAATCCTTACATGCTGTTCGCACTTGACGGGCTTCGCGGTTGCGCCTGGGCTCTTACGAACGTTGTAGCATTGATCCGTAGGTACGAGAAGTGGGACCACTTGGATAGGCGTAAAACACTACTGCATACTACATAGTACCACCTTGATATAAAGTTCAGACCAATGAGCAGAACTGAAGGAGCCGGTAATGGCATCGGTGACCTACTTGCCATTTGTGGAATTGAAGTTCCGCAAGCCACATTACGTATTCTCAATGAGTTAGCTTATTGTTAGCCTAAATTGACTCAACTTATAAGTCCTATACTGGAAACACTGCTGTCAAGTATGAGCGACTTTACATGACCACATAACGACTATTGAGAAGAAAATCGTTTTTCAGCCAAGCACAATTCGACTTTTTCGAACGGATTATTCATGAGTACAAACTCGACAGTGCAGTTGTATCGGAGGCGGCCTACCAATTGGGCGTGATACATGCTCGTTATGCCGAATATGGCCTGAAGCCTCATTTCCTTGATTTATGGCGGCAGCATTTAGAAAAGGTAGGGCATTATTTTAATTGCAACAGTTACTGAAACACACCTCAAGGGAAGCAAAAACGATAACAACGCTTCTTAAGTGACAAAGCAAGACTCTAGATAAAATTGTTGTTTGAATTGACATGAGGAAAAAGAAAAAAGTAATGGGCTTCAGAATGGTTCAATTTAACACATTGACGACATTGAGACGCGGTAACGCGTCTCACTTTGCGCACCTCGTTGGACATTGAGACGCGTTACCGCGTCTCACCCTTATCATCCCTTTTTCTAGGGCATGCGCAGCTTTTTCCCGAATTGTTTGTCTCTCTTCTATGGATTAGAACATAACATTATTGTGAACGACATAGGTCATTGTTTGTTCAAATATGCTCCAGTTTAGAAGAAGTTTTCCAAGCTCACCGAAACCGGCGGCTTGGTTCATTAATAGTTTTCATGCTATTCTCATGAACACGTCAATAAAAAAGGGTAGTGAAAGTAAATGCAAATCTAAAGAGACAGAAAAATACATGCTTTCACTTGGTATAACCACATCAAAAGAGCTTTTGGCATCCACTACAGATAAAATGACTAAAATTTCCTTTTTCATTACCATTACGTGTTTTTCTTTAAAGGCATGCCCCAGGATCGCACTGGTGTGGCTCTTGCACACGAATGTGAATGTATCGGTGCCAAGTGGGCCGGCAGTGAAGAAAAAAGGAAAAGAATCCGTCGAAAACGCTCAGGTTGAGGGCTCACTCACCTTCCTAATTGGCTGTGCTAAAGGAACGAGAGACTAAGCGCGAAGAGGAGAGTATGGGGCGAGAGAGCGCATCAGATGAGAGAGCACCAGACAACGGCCTGATAAGAGAGCTCGTTCGCTGCAGCTCGAGCAGCTTACTTTGCAAGCCCAAGCGTTCTTGTCGGTCGAATTCCGTGCACGTGAACGCCACATTTGTGATTGTCCCCTAGGGTTCTATACTTCTGACCGAAGAGAAGCGTTCACACGACCTCTGCCTGAGGTTGTGCCTGCCTTTTAATCGGAACTTCGTCACTATATACTCTATTACCTTCTACGCATTGACTGTTACTGAGATGTTTTTGTACCACTGGTGCTTTAAAAAGTTATCAATAAAAATTCACGGATCCGAGGTGCGGCGGTCGCACTCGCAAAATCGGCCCGGTCCCACACGGCCAAAAAAGCCAAAACGCGCGCGGTCGTCAATGTGTTAAATTGATTGCAGAAACAAGAAGGAAGAGTTCGCTAGTAGACAGCGCTTATCGCCGTAGCACTGATTTCATTATTTTAAAGACGCGCGTGCCTCGGTATGATCCACGTATGAAAAAGGGATGCCTAGAGATCGACGAATTCACAGCAGACGTCGTGGAGTCCTAGTCAGGGTCAACCGTCCGTTGGACAAAGTCCAACGCGACGACGAGAGTAATGCCGAGAGTGAACGTACGCACGGAGACACAGACGGCTCGCGGGTGGCGAGAGTGAATGCCGGCGCGGAGAGCGGTGAACATCGGTCCAACGTCGTCATGTCGGTCCAACGTAACGGTTGACCCTGATCCTAGTTGCTCTTCTGCTTTTGTCGACACTCACAAAGACTGTCACATCGTTGGTTCCAAAGCTTGCCCTAAGGAGGATTTCACGATAGGTCGAGTTGAAAATGAGAAAAAAAAATTTAGTTGGAGCCAGTCGGGTCACTTAAGAGTGCGGGACGATGCGAGTATCGCCGCGAAAAGTTTACTCCCACCATAAGCGGGGCCGCACCCGCGCCGCTCACTCGCTGCACGCCCTATAGCTGACCCATCGCCGTATGACCCTAGCCGCTCTAGCAGAGGGAAATTTACCTGATGGAAGCAGGAGAATTTACCTAACGGAGCCGCTCTAGCAGAGTCATCATCAGTTCAGACGAAGAGGACAGTACTTATGAGAGTCCCATCAATGGGGAAATCAGTGGGCTACACTGCAATATATTGGGTTGTCCAGAAAATCCTGCGACACTTTGTCTAAGATTTTTGATTGTGCAGTCTTTCCATTCTGGGCTTGTTAGCTGCTTCCATCGAGAAGTACAGCTTCTCCACCACCTATGGATGTAGTTCCTGATATTGCTATATTGTCATAAAATGGTTTGTAAAAGGGT